TTGAATGACCAAATTCTTCCATTCCTACCTAGTAAGTGAATCACAGGACAGACCCATCTGCCTGCCCTCCACTAGGGGGTGCCCAACACCAACCGGGGGCTGTGATATCAAGTTCTAAGGGAGAAGGGGGCTGGGGACCCAGACTTCTAGGCCCTGAGGGGAAAGATTGGGGATCCAGACTCCTGAGTTCTGAGGGAGAAGCTGCATGAGGACTTGGATTCTGGGGTCTTGAAAGGAGTCGGGGTCTGAGAAAGGGAGGAGGAGCCTGGGAATGGCACCCGGATTGGTTGGAAGCAGAACTGGCCCGGGCAGTGGTTTGGCTTGGCTAGAGTCCGTGGGAAGCAAGTGGACAGAGCAGGGATTGTTCCTCTAGGGTGACCCCCTCCCCATCACCTCCTGAGCTTGGCAGCCTCAGCTCTTCCCAGGCCCTGGGGACTTGGGGGCACAGCCCGAGGCCCTCCCTGGGGCTTCTGCCTTCTACTGGACTCAGCTGCCTAGCTTCGGAACCCGGGAAAACTGCCCAGAGAGTGCTGAGAGGCAGGCAGGAGGCTAGTGCCCAGCCAATGCGGAGCAATACCAGCCGTGGACCTAACAGCCCCACCGTGGGATTCACTCAGGATCCCGGAGTCCAGGCCCCGGGTCTCCTCCACCCATGGGCCCAGCACTGTCTCGCCTCAGACCCGGGGCCTCTGCTCTTATACACATGCTCTGTTTTGTTTTGTTTTTTTAAGAGTTTTTTTTTGCATTAAGGTACATGTGCTTGCTGGAGAGAGACAGAGACCGGGAGAGGGAAAGAAAGTGAGAAATCGATCCCGGGGGGATGGTTACACTGCAATCCTTTCTCCTCCATCCTCCTTTCTGGATTTTGGGCAAGCATGCACATATTCCCAGTGTGAGTTTCATGCCACCAGGTTCAGGACTTGTGTTTTTTGTTTTTTGGGGTTTTTTTTAGAGGTTTTTGCTATAGGGTGCGTATGCTTGCCAAAAAGACAGAGATAGATAGAGAGACAGAAAGCGAGAAATCATTCCCCAGGGGACATGGCCACGCTGCAATCCCTTCTCCTCTTGTGATCTTGGGCACGCACACAAACGCACGCGGTGTGAGTTTAAACCAACAGATCAGGGAGTCAAACCATGGTCAACTACGTGGGAGTCCAGCGACATAGCCATTACGCCAACTGCTGGTCCCTCTCCCCCTCCCCTTTTTAAAAATTTTATTCAATAGTGTATTTCTTTCATAAGCAAGATGAAGAGGGAGAGAGACATAGCCTCCCCTGCTGCCTGGGTCTTGATGCCACAATCCATCCCTCGCCGCAGCCAGCCCTAGATCACAGACACATGTGCCTGGTGTACCCAGGGAGGTCTCTGGATGAGAGCCGTGGACTCCCCCAGCTGGCCTCCCAGCATGCTGCGTTTTACTGCTGTGCCGCTGCTGGCTCCCACTCTGCTTTTTCTCAGTTTTTCATCTGCACTGCCAGGACTGACTGGTTGGATGGCAAGCGTGTGGTCTTTGGCAAGGTGAAAAAGGGCACGAATATCGTGGAAGCTATGGTGTGCTTTGAGTCCAAGAATGGCAAGACCAGCAAGAAGATCACCATGGCTGAGGACAGCTAGTGAATTTGACTTGTTTTCTCTTCTCTTAACCACCAGACCGTTCCTTCTGTGGCTCAGGAGAGCGTGGAGAGCAGCTGGTCTGAGAAGACACGTGACCTTTAGAAGCATGCAGAAATGCCGCTTCGTGGTGAGCCGCTCTAGCAAGGCTACTGAAAATGTCTCCATAGGAAAGCACTCTCTGCCTGCTGTCAACGATTATCTTCCTGTTGTTGTTGATACCTGATTTGGCTAAAGGAAGTCACATGGGTTTATCAGATTGTCCCCCAAAAAGATCAGAGAAATTAAATGGCGCCAGTCATTCTCACATCTTCAGACGATTTACTTCCAAAAACAACTGGCTTTCCAAGACCAGCAGTTGGCGTAATGGTTATGTTGCTGGACTCCCATGTAGTCGACTGTCGTTCGAGTCCTGGACCCGGTGGCTTAAACTCATGCTGTGCGCGTGTGTGCCCAAGATCCCGGGAGGAGAAGAGATTGCAGTGTGGCCATCCCTGCTGGAGGGTGACTTCTCACTTTCTGTCTCTCTGTCTGTCTTTAGGGTGAGCACGCATGCGCCCTATAGCAAAAACCTCTCCCCCACCCCACCCCCCCAAAAAAACTGACTTTCCATTCCGCTTCCTTCTCCCTCATTCTCTTTCCATCCCATCATCCCATTTCCTCCTCCTCCCATTTTCTGCCTTTTAAAAGAATAAACGTGAGGTCGGTTCCTGGTCATCAAAAAGTTGGGCCCACCCGACCCTCGCTTTTCTATACCTGTGTGTCTTTGGGTGTTTGTTATTGCATCTATTTCTAACCCACAGCCTTCCCCACTCAGAAAAACATGTTCATGCCGAGCAGGTCCCAGCAAAGTGGTGCCCAACATGGGGCCCGAGTACGGGGAAAGAGACAGGCGAGCGGAAACTCCTCACAGACGGCCGGATATTATTGAGTAAGCTAAGGATTCTATAGAGCAAAATAAGAGTGAAAGAGATACTAAAGTAGAAGAGAGAGATACCAGAGTAAAGAGAGATCAGAGTAAAATAAAGAGATAATAGATCAACAGAAGGAAATGGAATGGAAAGCCACTTGTTTTTGGATGTAAATCGTCAAGATGTGAAAATGACTGGCGCCATTTAATTTCTCTGATCTTTTTTGGGGACAATCTGATAAACACATGTGACTTCCTTTAGCCCAACTTGGTATCAACAACAACAGGAGGCAGAGAGTGCTTTCATATGTAAATGCTCCTCAATAGCCCTGCTAAAGCAGCTCACCCTGGAAGCAGATGCCAAGGGCATTTCTGCATGCTTATAAAGGCACATGTTTTCCCAGACGGGCTGCTCTGCAGAGGAGAGCACTCCTCCACCCAATCTGCTCGCTATGCCCTGTAACCTGTGCTCCTGTTGCACTTCTTTGGGTTCCATAGTTTCCTTATTCCCCTCCAAGTCTAGCTGAATTGCAAAGTTAAGTTTATGATTATTAAATTAAAATTAACAACAACAAAAAAAGATTTTTGTTATAGTGCGTGCATGCCCTCCCTGGGAGAGACAGAGAGACAGAAAGTGAGAAATCACCCCCCAGGGGGGATGGCCATGCCACAATCCCTTCTCCTCCATTCTCCTCTTGGGATCTTGGGCACGCACACACACGCGTCCAGCATGAGTTTAAGCCACCGGGTCCAGGACTTGAACCAAGGTCAACTACATGGAAATCCAGTGACATAGTCATCACACCAACTGCTGGTCCCGTGACCTCTGGTTTTTGACCACATGAGGTCAGGACTGTCTATTTTGCCGTTGTGTCCCTAGGGCTTGGCAGGATCTCAGAAAAGGTATGGGGGTGGGGAGAAGTAACGTAAGAATCCACAGTGCTGAAGCCACGTTACTGACACAGGTTAGGATCCTGAGTTCACGTGAAACATAAGAGTCACGTGAAACATGCTGGTTGTGCGTACTCCAGACCTTAACTAGCTAGAGGGCTGGGGAAGGGATATGGTATGAGGGGACCCTGTGGAGGATACTTCTGTCTGTCTCTCAATCAAATAAATAAAAAAATATATAAATAAACCCATCTGGGACAAATACCTAGGAACTGTCCAACAACACAGACTCTAGAGGTCTAGCTCCTGAATCCCAGCCTAGACCACATAGCAAGACTAAAAGACACCTGGGGGGACCAGCCAAATAATCTGGGGATTAAGGAAGCCGGATCCCACATGACTAGCCAGGGTTCGAACCCCAGACCTGGTGGCTTGAGAAACACACCAAGCGTGTGTGTGCACATGCCCCAGATCCTGACAGGCTGGGGAAGTATGGAGGAGGAGGGAGTGAGGCACTCTCCCCATCACAGAGTGCTCTCTCCTTCCCTCTTCCTCTCTGTCTCTTTGTCTCTGGCAAGCAAAAGTGCCCACTTTAAAAAAGAGAGAGAAGCCAGCAGGTGGTAGGGTAGTTACGCCGCTGAACTCCCACATGGATGACTGCTGTTCAAGTCTTGAACCCAGTGGCTTGAAAATCACTCTGGGCCCGTGTGTGTGTGTGTGTGTGTGTGTGTGTGTGTGTGTCCCAAAACCCGGAGAATGGAGGAGAAGGGATTGCAGCGTGGCCATCTCCCCTGGAGGTGATTTCTCACTTTCCCTCTCACTGTCTCTCCCCACACACCCCTGCCAGCCCACGTGCCCTCAGGCAAAAACCTCTTTAAAACAGGAGGCTAGGGACCAGCAGGTGATGTGGTGGGTAAGATGCTGCGCACCCCCCAATGGCCGACCGCGGTTCGGGTACCGGACCTGGTGGCTTGCTTTTTCACTTTCCTTTTCTCTCTGTGTGTGTATCTCTCTCTCTGGTCAATTAAAATAAATGAAGAATACATAAAATTAAAAAAAAAACAAAACAGGAGGCTAATCCTGCTGGAAGGCTGAGGCGAGTATAACATGGCAAGTCCCTCTCTTTACATAAATAAATAAACAGAATATCGTCATCCCAGGCCTCAAGTGGGGCTGGAGGCAACTGCAGACTGGCTGTGTCCCCGAGTTGTCCTTTTGCAAATGGGAAAGCTGGGGTTTAGTGCAGAGCACTCTACTTGTTGCATTTGGTTGTTTTTCTTCACCTCTTCGTTCCCACAGACTAGGCTCCAGGCTCCAGTGGAGCCACACAGGACCCTAGGCACTCATGGAATGTCGGCTGAACTGAATCAGTCCCCTCAGCTCAGCCCCAGGCTATGGAGAAGCAGCCACATCAAAGAGAATAAACTTGGGGGGCCCACAGGTGGCGCAGCAGTTGGGGTGCTGGATTCCCACTTGGCCGACCGTGGTTTGAGTCCCAGACTTGGCGACTTGCCTTCTTATGCTCTCTCTCTCTGGTCAAATTGAAGAATAATAATAAATACATTAAATTAAAAAAAGAGAGAGAGAATCAACTTGGAATCGTTTTATTGGCAGGGATTTAGGTGGGCTGGGAAGCAGGTTGTGGAGGACTGGGAAGAAGGGGGAGTGCAGTCCAGGCCTGGGCAGGGCAGGAGGTGGGGGGAGGGAGAAGGGGTGCGGCCTGGGCTCTCCCATCCCCATGCCCCATGGTCCGTGGCAGGTGGGACTGGCTCCTACTGCTCCCCCTTCAACATAGAAAAGAGCTGGTCTGTGAAGATGCCTGCGTACGTGGTCACGGCTGCTGTGCTCTTGCTGTACATGTCCCTGGGGAGAAGTGACAGTCAGAATGGGGAGGAGCTGGCAGCTGGACCCCTGGGCCTGCGGGAAGAGGGGACTGAGGTCCTGGCATCATGTGCCCTGGGTGGAAAGGCATCTGGGACCCAAACACCTGGATCCCTGGCTGGACACAGCTGGGCTCTGGTTCCGATGGAGCTGGGAGCGGGGTGGGGTGGAGATCCCGAGGCCATGAGAGGACACAGGTTTGACCCTGACTCTGGGTCCCGAGCAGAAGGAGCTGGGAACTGGACTCCCGGGTCCCACAGGGAGCAGGTGTCAGGGGTCGGGTGCTGCTTCTCAGAGAGACAGGAATACCTGATCTTCTCATCCACGGCGGGCAGGTACGTCTTCTGGTACAGGTCCTGGGCTGCGGCCTTGGCCGAGTCCCAGTAACTGGAGAACGACTCCCGCATCTGGGCCAGCAGGGCTGGGCTGGCGGGCTCATCTTGCCGGGACTCAGGGTCCGCCTGGACCTCTGCAGGGGACAGAGCGTTAGCCGAGCCCATGGGGCTGCCCCAGAGGAAGACAGCGGGCAGGAGAGGAAGCAGCAGAGGAAGGGCTGGAAAAGGACCGGCTGGGAAGATGCTTGGCGTTCATCCCCTTCCCCCGTCCCTTGCAGCCCACACTCACCCAATCCCAGTACCAGGAGGACAAGAAACAGAGCAAGGAGGAATCGCGTGCCCATGGCGTCGGAAGACCTGCAACGCTGAGGCGGGCGAGTGTTGGGCGGCAGTCACTGGAGGCGTCTGTTCCTGGGCCACCCCACCCCACTCAGGGCCAGGAGGCAGGACCCTGCTGCATCTGCCCCTGGCCTGAGTCGGCCTTCTAACGGATCGACTTGTTCAGAAACATCACCCTTGGTCCTTATTCCCCCCCACCCCCTTGGTTTTGCTATAGGGTGCGTGAGCTTGCTGTGAGGTAAGGGCAGAAGGTGAGAGATCGGCCCCCAGGGGGTGGCCATGCCACACTGCCTTCTCCTCCATCCCCCCCACCCCCTTGGTTTTGCTATAGGGTGCGTGAGCTTGCTGTGAGGAAAGGGCAGAAGGTGAAAAATCGGCCCCCAGGGGATGGCCATGCCACACTGCCTTCTCCTCCATTCTCCTCTCAAGATTTTGAGCATGCGCGCACCCAGCATGATTGCCAAGCTGTCCGGTCTGGGACTCAAACCGCGTAGTTGGCCCTGTGGGATGCAGCTGGCTTAACCCACATGCTACCGGCTGGCCTGGACCTTGCTTTTTTTTTAAAAAAAAAAAAGTAAAAGAAGTTTATTTCTTCCATGGGGGGCAGAACGCACTCCCAGGAGGGTCTTCATGTCCACTCCCAGCCTCAGCTGACAGGGATCACAGGTACAGGCACCCGGCCAGATCCTGCCCCTGCGCTCTAGGGCTCCATCTCTGGCCCAGGGGCCTCACTTTCTAACAATGTACATTCTGACTGTTGATTTTAACATTTTAATTCTAACATAACGTCATTCAGTCGTTACATATTCACTCAGGAAACCTTTTTGGGGTGCCCAAATGGCCCTGGGCCCCTCAGAGAACGCAACCAAATCCCTGTCCTTTGCTAAGACCGAGGCAGTGCTGGAAAGTGACTGCAGACGCCTTTAAGAACCAACATGTTCTTGGGACCAGCAGTTAGCGTAATGGCTATGTCGCTGGACTCCCATGTAGCCGACTGCGGTTCAAGTCCCAGACCAGGTAGCTTAAACTCATGCCGGGCGCGCGCGAGTGCGTGCCCAAGATCCCAAGAGGAGAATGGAGAAGAAGGGATTGAGGCATGACCATCCCCCCTGGGGGGGTGATTTCTCGCTTTCTGTCTCTCTGTCTCTCTCTGTCTTTCTGGCAAGCGCACGCGCCCTATAGCGAAAACCTCTCATAAAAAAGAAGAAAAAAAAAGAGAGAGAGAGAGAGAGAGAACCAACGTGGGCTGGCACGTGGTTTGGTGGCTGAGGACTCTGGACTCCCACGTGGCTGCCCGTGGTTTGAGCCCTGGACCTGGCGGCTGGCTTTCTCACTTTGCTTCTCTCTCTCTCTCACTCTGTCCCTCTTTGCTCAAATTAAAATAAGTAAATAAATAAATAAAATAATTCTTAAAAAAAAAAGAACCAACATATTGCCATACCTGGCTTGTTCTCCAGGTCCCTGTTGTCCTGATCCCAAGCCTACCCGGAAGGCGTGCGGGGCATGATATGACCACGCACGCTTAGCAGCTGAGGAAACTGGCAGAAAGGGTTTGCAAGCTGGAACAGCACCAGCAAATATTCTAGGACTCTAAATTCTGTGCTTCCCACCCAGGCTTCCGACATCGCGACTCTGCCACAATTTTATTTTAGTTTTCTATTTTTATTTATCTTGCTGGAGAGAGACAGAGAGAGAAAAAGTGAGAAAGCATCCCTGGGGGGACGGCCACACTGCAACCCCTTCTCCTCTCAGAACTCTGGGCACCTACGTACACGTGCCCGGAGTGTTTTTCAAGCTGCCAGGTCCAGGACTTCAACCATGCCTGTCAGCCAGGTAGGATCCGACCATCCTAAGCACAGTGCCACTGGCTGGCCCCGCCGCAGTTTCTGATTTAACGGTGTTCGCCCCCTCCCTGCTGGCAGCCCCCGCCCTGCCCCGCGGTCCCTCTCTTACCAGCTCTGTCAGCTGTCCTCACCAGCTCCCAACAGGCCGAGGGAGGCTTTATAGCTCTCAGGTCCCCCTCCCCTCCATGGCCGCCACCCCTATTGTTGGCCTAGGCCAAAGTCCTGGCCAACAGATCCACTGAGGGGGTGGGTAGGGACACAAAGGGCAGTGATGTCCCTGAGGTCAAACCGTGTGGCAGTCTGGACCTTCACCCCTGGAAGAGACAGGCTGGGTGGGGGGATTGTGGAGGTATTGGGAGTTCTAGGCGTCCACCAGGAATGGTGTTTGGGGTCTGCGGAGCTCTGCAGGAGGGGCCCCCGTGGGGACCTGCTGGCCCTCCTGCTCCCCAGACTCACTCTCCTGAAACTGAGGCACCTGAGGTCTTCCCCTGCAAGCTGGCACTAGAGGGGCTCGACCCCAACCCCTTCTCCCAAAGCCCCCATTGGCCCTCTGAGGCCAGGTGTCCCCTCTTCCACTCATTAACTCCTGCAGGTAGGGAGGCGGAGTTTTCTTTGGCCACCTAGCAGAGAGGGGACAGGAACACAGGTGAGAATCTCTTTATTGCGGACGCTGGGCCAGTGTGAATGCTTCAACCCTGGTCTTTGTCGCTGCAGAAGAACTTGGGGCACAGGCTGCGGGCCTTGTTCAGGAGGCTGGCTTTGGAGCTTTGGAGCCAGGCCTGGGTGCGAGGACCCAAGTCCTTCAGGTGGTCTTCGTAGTAGGTCGCCATGAAGCTATCGGGGCCCCTGTGGGAGACAGTTGAGACCCCCACTACCCTCAGCAGTGGTTCTGCACTCACCCCTCTTCCACCAGACCCCCAAGTCCAGACCCAGACCCAGGTTTCCAGGGCGCTCCCCCTCCCCTAGGCCCAGCACGGGTGCACACTCACCAGACCCACTTCCACCTCTCTCTGGTCTTCGTCACCAGCGGCTCCACGAGCTCCCTCACCCTGCTGGGCACCAGGCTCCAACGGCTCTTCTCCAGCTCCAGCGAGGGGCTCGGGGTTCCTGCAGCCACTCCTTGCTGGCATGCTGCGGGAACAGAGTCAGCCTGGACGGACGGGGACCCCTGAATCCCCTCCTGTCTCTTCACCAGAAACGGTCACCTCTGTGGCCCAGGGGTAGCCACTTGCTTGTCCCCTCACCTTAGATGTCCCTCTGGCCCCTCGCCCTCCCTGACCATCGGTCATCCTTTACACTGTACCGTGGTCCCCGTCACCCCTCAATTGCTCACAGTTCTTGCTCGGTCCTGAGTCTTACCTCCTGAACCACTGTCCCCCTTCTGACTTCTCACCACCCAAAACACCCCGGCTCCTTGGTTCCCCTGGGACCCCCTCCACTCACACACACACACACACACACACACACACACTTATCTCAGCTGCCCCTGTGACATTGGAGGGGCACTCTGCTCCCTGGGGATGTATGTTGATGTGGCTAAGCTGTCACTTCCTGCTGCTGGGTCAGAGGTTCTGCCCGGGTCACAGTCAACTTCCTCACACACACCTGTGGGTCCAGCACCCACGCACCCAAGCATCTGGCCCACAGAGACCAGCCGCCACGAGACACGGGGACATGCTCACGCAGATGCCCCTGTCTTCTCCTCTCCATGACTTAGTTTCGCCTTCTGTAGAACGGCATAATCACATCCCTCCCTCAGGGTGATGGTGAGAATTAACAGTTAATACACATAATGCTGGGACCAGCAGATGGCATAATGGTTTAGTCGCTGGACTCCCACATAGTCAACTGCAGTTTGAATCCTGGACCCACCAGACACACGTGTGTGCATGCCCAATATCCCGAGAGGAGAATGGAAGAGAAGGGATTGCGGCATGGCCATCTCCCCTGGGGGATGATGTCTTACTTTCGGTCACTCTGTCTCTCTCTGTCTCTCTCTCTCCAGCAAGGGCATGTGACCTAGAGCAAAAACCTCTCTCAAAACAAACAAACAAACAGACAAAAAACATGGAACCAGCAGTTAGCGCAATGGCTATGTCGCTGGACTCCGATGTGGCCAACTGCGGTTCAAGTCCCGGACCCGGTGGCTTAAACTCACTCCAGGCGCGTGTGTGTGCATACCCAAGATCTCGAGAGGAGAATAGAGAAAGGATTGTGGCGTGGCCATCCCCCCTGGGGGTGGATTTCTCGCTTTCTGTCCTTCTCTCCCTCTCTGTCTGGCAAGCGCACACGCCCTGTAGCAAAAACCTCTCCAAAAAAAAAAAACAAAAAAAAACCCTCATAATGCCTTCACGGCATAGCACTGTGTATACATTAAAGTCTCAATGCACGTGCAAAACCCAGGCATGCTTACCAGTACACACAGACACCCTCACATGTGTCCACACGCACCCGTATGTTGCACACACACAGTCCCTTGTACGTACACACGTGCACATTCCTGCCACACATTTACCACGACTGCATACTCTACTGGCACACACACAACACACACAACACACACAAACACATACAAACGGCTACTGTCACTTGTACCAACCCCATATCCACACTCAGACACTGACACACTCTCAGATACGCACACACGCTCCATACCCACGCCCATGTCTCACATGTCTGCGAACCGACACAACATGCACCCCCACGCAGTGCGGGCCCCACACTCATCACCCCCTTTTCCTCACCCACAACACAGGCCAGAACCAGGACGCAGAGACAGAGGGAGGGCAGGGTCCGGAAGCTGCACCTAAGGAGCAACATTTCTGGGGACTCTGTCCCTCTGTCCCTCTGTCCCTCTGTCCTTCTGCTCTGCTCTCCAGTCGGGGGAGGGGCAGGCTGCATGGAGCAGGGCCCTCCCCTGGCCAACTCCCCACGCCCCTTGGCAGGGACTTCACAGAGAGGCCCAGGGGACAGTGACAATCAGAGGCCATGCCCGCCCACCTGGCCTCCCTCCTTCTCATCCTCCCAGCACCCTGGCCTGACAGAGAACAGAAAACTCTTCAGCTCCTGCACTGAACTGGGTTCAAATCCTGGTGCCACCTCATGTGACTCGTGTTTTCTGACCTCTGTCACATGGGGACCACAGTCCTCCCTTCGGGACGTTGTTTGAATGACACAGTTCAAGGAAGACTCCCTGAGCGGAGCCTGGCGGTGAAGGTGCCCAGACCCAGCTGCTGCTCTTTCTGCCTCTCTGAGTCTTTACCATTGGGCGACAGGGCCAGGCACATAGAAGGGCCTCTATGGGGGCCTCAGGGGTCACAGTCCCCAGCCTTGGCTTCTTCCCCTGGTGATGGGCCGAGTCATTCCAAGCCCCCCTTGAGGTTTTTTTTTTTTTTTTTTTTTGAGAGGTTTTTGCTATAGGGCGCATGCACTCACCAGACAGTCAGAGACAGAGAGATAGAAAGCGAGAAATCACCCCCCGGGGGGACAGCCATGCCACAATCCCTTCTCCTCCATTCTCCTCTCGGGATCTTGGGCATGCACGCACATGCGCCCGGCATGAGTTTAAGCCACTGAGTCCGGGACTCAAACCGCGGTCTACTACGTGGGAGTCCAGCAACATAGCCATTATGCTAACTGCTGGTCCCAGCCCCCCTTGAATTCTAAATCCCAGTTCTTTCTCTCTTTAAAAAAATGTCTATCTATTGGGACCAGCCGATTGCACAGTGGTTACTGGACTCCCACGTAGTCAGCTGCAGTTCTAGTCTTGGACCTGGCGGCTTTAAACTCACACCAGGCATGCGAGCGTGCGTGCTCAAGATCTCCAGAGGAGAATGGAGAAGGGGTTCCAGACTGGCCATCCCCTGGGGAGTGATTTCTTGCTTTCTGTCTCTCTGTCTCTCTGTCTCTCCAGTAAGTGCACATGCCATATAGCAAAAATCTCTTTCAAAAATTTTATTTATTATTAATGTGTTTAAATTTGCTACACAGCACACAGGCTCATAGAGAGAGAAAGTGAGAGAGAGAGAGAGAGAGAGAATAAGAAAGCAGGCCTCGGGACCAGCAGCTGGCATAATGGCTATGTTGCTGGACTCCCATGTAGTCGACTGCAGTTTGAGTCCCAGACCCGGTAGCTTAAACTCATACCAGGCCGTGTGTGTGTGTGTGTGTGCCCAAGATCCCAAGAGGAGAATGGAGGAGAAGGGACTGCGGCGTGGCCATCCCTCCTGGGGGGTGATTTCTTGCTTTCCGTCTCTCTGTCTCTCTATCTTCCCGGCAAGTGCACATGCCCTATAGAAAAAACCTCTAAAAAAAAAAAAAAGAAGAAGAAAAAGAATGGCACAGAAAGAAAGAAAGAAAGAAAGAAAGAAAGAAAGAAAGAAAGAAAACCTGCAGCTCAGAACTTGAACTGCCATTGGCCACGTGGGAGTTCAGTGCCTTAACCAACCAGCTGCTGTCTCCCCAGGTCTTTCTCTCAGGTGGCTCTCGCCCCAGACGGACCTGGGCTTCCAACCCCTGACTCGTTCACTGCATGGCCTAGGCAAACAGATCTCCTTCTCTGGGCTTCAACCTTTATATCTGTAAAATGGGGGTGATCATAGGTGCCTGCTGTTTAAAAAAGGAAAGAAAATAATATTTTAAAATAATTATTTTATCTTAGAATTTGCTATAGGTCACATGCACTCACCAGAGAGAGAGAGAGAGAGAGAGAGAGAGAGGGGAAACAAGCCGGCACGTCTGGAATTCGAACCACGGTTGGCCATGTGGGAGTCCATGTGGGAGTCCAGCACCTTAACCATCATACTACCTGCTGGTACCAAAAAGAAAACAATTTGTTTTTTGGTCTGCTATAGGGTGCATGCGCTCACCAAAGAGAGACAGTGAGAGAAAAATGAGAAATTACCCCCTAGGGGTCATGGCTACACCGCAATCCCTTCTCTATTCTCCTCTCAGGATTTTGGGCATGGACGCACATGCACCTGGCATGATTTTCAAGCCACCAGGTCTGGAACTTGAACCCATAGTCGGCCATGTGGTATCTGATTGTCTTAACCTCCATGCCACTGCTGGCCCAGAAAATGATTAAAAAAGAAGAAGAACTATATGGGATGCCCAGTTACCTTTGACTATTCTTGAATAATTTTTAGTATAAATATGTCCCATGTAGTATTTGGGAATTATACTAAAAACGTATTTGCTATTTAGCTGAAATTCAAGTGTGACTGGACATCCTGCGTTTGTGGTAAAACTGAGAACTTGGCCTCGGCCACAGCCTGAATGACTGTACGGGATAGGCCCGACCCAGAGGCCTCCAGTCCAGTAGGTGCTCAGTAAATGCTCCTTGCCAGCTCCTCACTAACTTCCATCCGCAGGATAAAAACCACTCCGCGTGCCAGTTTGGAATGACGGAAAGTTCTGGAAGTAGACCGTGAGGTTGCACAACCTCGTGGATGGACTTAATGCCACTGACCTGTACACCGAGAAAAGGTACATTCTATGCCATGTGTATTTTACCACTAGCAAAACAAAAGCAGAGACAAACCACTATGTTATGAAAAGCAGCTCAGTTCAGAGCCTACCTGTTCCGGCCTGTGACCTGGGGCAAGTTTAACCTCTCCAGCGCAGTTTCCTCATCCGCAAATGAATGGTGACGACCTACCTACTTGTAAGGCTGCCCAGGAGAGGAAGGAGCTGGTGAATGAAGTGCCAGGCAGCGGTGCTCAGGATGGGCGAGCGCGGCTTCCCTGGCACGCGGCTCCCTAGTGCCCTCCCGCGAAGGCCTGTCACGGCTGGTGCTCACTAAATCATCCCAACAGCTCCATGAGGTGGGCTTTTTAGCTTTTTTAAAAAAATTTTGCAGGGCCAGCAGGTGGTGTGATGGTTAAAGGCGCTGGATTCCCACATGGCCGACCCTGGTTTGAGTCCCGGATCAGCGTGCTTGTATTCACTTTCCCTCCCTCTCTCTCTGTCTCTCTCTGCTCACATTAATATAAGTACATAAATAAAGAAAATTAAATAAGGAATTCTTTCCTTTTAAAATTATTTAAGTTCATTTCTTTCTTCTTCTTCTTTTTTTTTTTTTTTTTTTTTTTTGGGGGCATCACACTACAGACAACAGAGAGTCAGAGAGATAGAAAGTGAGAAATCACCCCCCAGGGGGGATGTCCACGCCACAATCCCTTCTCCTCCATTCTCCTCTCGGGATCTTGGGCACACACGCACACGCGCCCCACGTCAGTTTAAGCCACTGGGTCCGGGACTCAAACTGCAGTCAACTACATGGGAGTCCAGTGACATAGCCATTATGCTAACTGCAGGTCCCAAAAGATTTTTTTTCCTCAGGGCAAGTGTGCTCACCAGAGGGGTAGGAAGAAAAATAGAAAGAAGCCCTCAGGGCGGGTGGCCATACTGTAATCACGTCTCCAGGCTCCTTTTGGGATCTGAGGCATACACACGTATTAGTATGTTTTTTGAGTCGCTGGCTCTGTGAATCAAACTGCATAGTCAGCCATGTGGGATCCAGTTGCCTTAACCACCATGTCACTGATGGACCAAAGTAGGCTTTCTTTCTTTCTTTTTTTTTAAATTATTTTATTTCATTTTATTTATTCATTCACTTATTTTTAATTTGACCAGACACACACACACACACACACACACACACATACACACACACACACAGTCGCACAGAAAGGGAAAGTGAGAAAATAAGCCACCAGGTCCAGGACTCAAACCACGGTCAGCCTGTGTGAGTGTCTAGCACCTTAACCACTATGCCACTTGCTGGCCCCTAAAGTAGGCTTTCATTTTTATTTTATATATTTTATTTTATTCATTGCCATGATTTTATTATTTGTATTTATTTATTTCGTTGCTGAGAGATTTTTGCTATAGGGCGTATGAGCTTGTCAGAGAGACAGAGAGACAGAAAGCGAGAAATCACCCCCCAGGGGGGATGGCCACGCCGCAACCCCTTCTCCTCCAGTCTCCTCCTGTGATTTTGGGCACACACATGTGCCGGCATGAGTTTGAAGCCACTGGGTTCAGGATTTGAAGCACAGTTAAATATGTGGGAGTCCAGTGATGTAACCATTACGCCATCTGCTGGTCCCTATTATTTTTTTGGAGAGGTTTTCGCTATAGGGTGCGTGCGCTCGCCAGAAAGACAGAGACAGAGAGACAGAAAGCGAGAAATCACCCCCCAGGGGGGATGGCCACGCCGCAATCCCTTCTCCTCTATTCTCCTCTTGGGATCTTGGGCACGCACGCACACGCGCCTGGTGTGAGTTTTAAGCCACCGGTCCGGGACGTGAACCACGGTCGACTACGTGGGAGTCCAGCGACATAGCCATTACGCTAACTGCTGGTTCCCATGGCAGCAACTTTGAAATGAGAAATGTAGCTTGGATTCCTTTTATTTTCTGTTTAAAACAGAGGGGCCAGCAGGTGGTGTGATGGTGAAAGTGCTGGACACTCCCACATGGCTGACCATGGTTTGAGTCCCGGACCTGGCGGCTTGCTTTCTCACTTTCCCTCTCTCTCTCTGTGTCTCTCTCTGGTCAAATTAAAATAAATGAATGAATAAATAAAGAATTAATTAGATAAACCTTAAAAAAATAAAAAGCAGAACAGAAAACAAACTGAAACATAAGCCCTATTATACACGAACGATTTTAAAGAACATCAATTATGCAAGAAAATGACTACGAACAAGAGGCGTTTACAGACACCAGACATGAAGAGTGAGTGGTCAGTGGATGCTCACAGGGCTTTGCGGTGGTGCTCAGCAGAAGCCACTTTGTAATCGCTGGCAGTGAAAGAGATGCCGAATTCTTCGCCAGCTACTTCAGAAAAGCGTGCCACAATAGCCCACTGTTGGCCTATTCGCCCCTTCTCATCAAGGGGCGTGCGTATAGGCCCACAGTGCTCCCATCCTTACAAATAATCTCAGTAGGTGTGGTGCTCCGTGAAGCTGGGACATCGGCGCCTCAGGG